GGGTTGCTCATCAAGATAACCTCATATCCGCTGAATCATTGGGAGAACATGTGCTGAGTGTGTATATTTCTTAGTAAAATAGCTACATTATGTGTAGTGTGCAATATCATGGGGTGTCCTAAGGTGAATAACATAGACATCTCCACAGCCATAACATAAAATGCCAACACTTTGAGACACGCAGGCATGCCTTGGACCTGAACTGGCACCATTTTTGAGAAGAAAAAAAAAAAAAAACAGGGCAAGTCTGCCTCCGTGCTCCTGGGCGAGTACACCAGCCATGGTCTTACAATTGTCCCTTGCATACACATGAAACGTTTTTACATAGTCAGGAAGGCTAAGGCCTGGGGCAGTTACCATTGCATTTTTCAAATACACATATGCATCAACCATGTCATCTGACCACTTAACAATTTCTGACATTTTCTCTAGGTTGTGACTTATCATAATAGGAACAGTCAGGTATCCACTGGCGGCAGCAACCAATGGCTCCAAGAAAGGAGAGCATATCTTTCTTGGTTTGTGGGCGGGCAAGTTTCAGGAGAGCCACAGCTCTCTTTGGACTGACTTTCCTTTCCTCCTTTTGTAAGCACAAAACCCAGATATTCAACACTTATTTTACACCATTGTAGTTTTTTTCTTTGACACTTTGTGTTCACTTTCAAAAAAACATTTCAACAAACTCTCCCCATCCCTCAGGCCGGCCCCCTTAGTGAGACTGCAGAGGCAGATGACATCCGCGTACTGCAGCAGGACTGACCCATAGTCCGGTGTCCACCCCCTCAGAGTGGCCTGGAGAACAGTTGCGTAGACTACAGAAAAATCTACAAAAAACCCTGAGACATTAAACAGAAAACAAAAATGGGCTGTGTCTCTGCGTCAACAAGGACGCTAAAAAATGCATTTGCTAAATTAATTACTGAAAAACATTCAGCATCAGACGGTATGGCTGTAAAAAAACGGAATGTCAAACACCAACAGAACAATGTTTTATAACACAGTCAATGTCCTCTATTTCTAAACATTTAATTATTAACGTGTCTCCTACAGTGAGAAATGGATATCCCTTGATCTGTGTTGCCACTTTGTGTCTGGTTCTACCTGCCTGTCCGGGACTGAAAATTTTATCTATTCCTGCTTTATTTGCCAAGTCTACTAATAGGGACCCTGATATCTCTTTTAATCCTTCAGCAGAAAAAGGTTTCCTCATTCTGTGTGGAATCAGGAATTCCTTGGGTGGGGGTTCAAGTGTCTTCCACCGCGTCCTGGACTGGGACGGGGGATGAGGCTGTGGATTGGATTTGCTGCTGTGCTGCAATAAAAAATTCACGTCCTCTTTGGAGAAGGAAGGATATATTCTGACAGTACGGAGCTGACAGTACGCAACGGGTCTAGTGACACATAAACACTTATCACTCTCAACAAAAGATAGACAATAAGAACTTAAATATTGACTCTATTTCAATAACTTCGACCCGTTCACTTACCAACCGGGTCACTTTTTTTTCATAAACAAATTATCTTATACTATATGCATTTCATAATAGAAGCAAAGAAAAGAAAGTTGGTTACCCTCAACAGACTAGTTAAGACTCTGTAAATTATACCTAGACCCCGTCTAGGTATTTCAAATGTAGACCCCGTCTACATAAATCACCTTTCCTTATCTGAGTCTCCCGGAGACTCAGTGAAGTATTCCCGGAATACTCCTGTCACAGTTCAGAGATCGAGAGTTAAGTCAGAGCCCACGGACAGCCGGACAGACAGACAGATTTTGTTTATCTTACCGGGTGACCGCAAATGGGTTGACCTCCCGATCTCGGTGGGACCTCCAATTGAAAGGTTGTCGATAGCCCCTGGCTATCAGTCTTTATAGTCAGTTTCAGGTACGGACGCGTCGGGGAGATTGACTTCATCTCAGAAGAGAAAGACAACAGACATACACATACACACAGTGATAGGTAAAATCAATCTCTCAAGTTTATTAGTGGGAAGAAAATTAATATAAAACAGAAAAAAGAAAGGTGGGGGCACAGAGTATCAAAAAGCTGAGTTGTCAGTATTTGATTGGCTGAATACAAAAAGACAACATTGACGTCAATATTATCTTATACTTCTATATGTAGAAAATAATAAACTTTAGACACAGAATGAGTGACTATAGGCAATCTCCCTGAGATTGCTTAGTCTCCCTGAGACAATTTTACTAACACTCCCGGAGTGTTCTGCTCCCAGAGCATATTTTGGCTTAAATGGATATCGGACTAATCAGAGCCTCCCAGTTTCCTTGTATCCAACTTGTACAGGTTATATAGAAAATAATTCTACTTACCGGACAAGTGGATGGTCACTGAGCGGGTGATGCCGATATCCCGGACGAGCCCCCAAAACTGTTGGTTCTATTGACCCTTAGACCCCTGGTCTAAGTTCTCTGTCACTCGTTCTGTCTCCTCAGGCCTGGAGAAGCATTGGTTACAAGTAATCACACATGAGACCGTCTTGTAAGTAACCAAAAACTTCTAATTTATTCCACAACGAAAGCTCTCTTATATAGTACAATATAGCATGCAAGTGGGAATACAAGCATTTACGTCAATCCTGAATAATGATGAGAAGCAAAATTTAAGGAATGTCTATAATATTACATAAAAACTTATCTGCTACATACAGTAGAATCTGGCTAGATACTTTTCAAGGCTGTGAACATGATCTTTCTCAGGCATTTGTAATTAGTTATAAGTAACAAACAATTATATTTTCTCATGGAACAGAAATATTTGACATTTAATTGTATCATAACAGAAACAGGTGCTTGTTAATACAAAGAAATAGTTGGATACTTTCACCGTCTCTACCAAGGCTAAGCTAAGATAAAAGATAGAAGAATTTTGTGAGTATAGTTCTGTAATACATAACTGACATAGCATATTTTCATTAACTCATTCTGGTTATAATACAAAACAATTAATCAACATGGAATATAAAATGGATGGAGTTGGGGAAAAACAAAATGACAGACCTAAAAGACATATATTTCCCTTCACCATCCACTGGCTTCCCATTGCCGAACGAATAAAATTCAAAACATTAACAATAACATATAAAGCCATTTGTAACTCCGCCCCCAATTGCATCACCAATCTTGTCTCCAAATATCACCCAAACCGTCCTCTCCGCTCCTTCCATGACCTCCTGCACTCTAAATCCCTTGTCTCCTCCTCCCATGCTCATCTCCAGGACTTCTCCAGAGCCTCCCTTATCCTCTGGAACTCTCTACCCCAATCTATCCAACTATTGCCTACTCTGCAATCTCTGAAAACCTCTTTCTTCAAGGAAGCCTATCCCGCCTTCAGCTAATAACTGAATCTTCATCAGTCCATCCCCCACAGCTATTACCTTTTGTACCACCAGCCCATCCCTCTTAGATTGTAAGCTCCAAGGATCAGGGCCCTCCTAACCCTCTTGTATTGAACTGTATTGTGTCCCTTTATATTGTAAAGTGCTGAGCAAACTGTTGGCGGCATATATCCTGTGTAATAATAATTGATAGCTCTTCCTCGATTCCGTGGGGTGGGGCACATGGCCGTTCTTAGTCGGTGGAGCGATTTGTCTGGTTAATTTTCGATACAGAATAACACGGATGAGAAAGGGGTCAAACCAACAAAAAACCATTCAGGGTGCCGCATTCCTATTCTCCACACGAAGGAGCGTACCCACAGACAGGAAGTGATGTAAGGCACAGACAGGATGTGAGGTAGAACAGAGGAAGGAAGTACCGAGTGAGAGGTGACTCGTGAGGAAGTAGAGGGGAGACATTGCTGGAACTGGCAGTAGAGGAGGTATTATATTTTTATATATATATATACGATGATGAATGGTTGAGCTGGGTTTGAGACTACGGAAAAAGGAAACCCAATTCATGCCGATGAGCAGATAAAAGTGTTTATAGAGAAAAAAAATATAAAATAGGATTACCTAATATAAATAGGGGGGCGAGCTGGGCTACTTCCCGGCACGTGAGGGTTGGGATTTTTCCATGAAATCTGACAAATTCTCCAACATATCTTGAGATGAAGTCCACGGTGATCCGCACCGATATCGATTGCTGTGTGTCCCCAAAACCAAGAGCCGAATGTCATCCATAGGACAGAAATGAACCAGTCTTTCTGAAGTCCTCTGCACCAAGGAACTTGTAAATCAAAGAGTTCCATCTGCTAAACCGCTCTATGGATGTACTTTGGGCTTCCAAGGTCCTCTATGCCAAAATTCTTATGCTTTGGACTCCATCAGCCATGTAGCCACTCCAAGAAACTTGTAGATCCATGAGTTCCATCTGCTAAATCACTCTATGGATGTGCTTTGGGCTTCCAAGGTCCTTTGTGCCAAAATCTCATGACTTGGACTCCATCAGCCATGTAGCCACTCCAAGAAACTTGTAGATCCAAGAGTTCCATCTGCTAAATCACTCTATGGATGTGCTTTGGGCTTCCAAGGTCCTTTGTGCCAAAATCTCATGACTTGGACTCCATCAGCCTCGTAGCCATTCCAACAAACTTGTAGATCCAAGAGTTCCATCCGCTAAATCATTCTATGGATGTACTTTGGGCTTCCAAGGTCCTTTGTGCCAAAATCTCATGACTTGGACTCCATCAGCCATGTAGCCACTCCACGAAACTTGTAGATCCAAGAGTTCCATCGGCTAAATCACTCTATGGATGTATTTTGGGCTTCTAAGGTCCAGACAAATGCCGAAATCTCATGACTTGGACTCCATCAGCCATGTAGCCATTCGTTCTGCAAATCGACTTTATGTCTGTGCCTCTGCAATAATAAAAGCCAATGTTTTTAAATAATGAGGGCAATTTTTTAATTTCAGAGCACTCTGAGATATCAAAACTGTGGAGGCAGACCTTATTCGTCCCAATCTAGTGTAGATTAATCTTGGTTTATTGTCTGTCTACAGAGAAGAACATCCTGTAGAGATCACATGACCAATGAGGATGGAGGAGGACCAAAGTCAGATGACCAAGAGGATATTGGACCTCACCCTGGAGATCATCTACCTGCTGACCGGAGAGGTGAGGAGGATTCTGGGAGGTCACATGACATCACTCTCATCTCTATTAATAAATAACAGACCTGACTGGAGAGGTGAGGAGCATTCTGGGAGGTCACATGACATCACTCTCATCTCTACTAATAAAATAGACCTGACCGGAGAGGTGAGGAGGATTCTGGGAGGTCACATGACATCACTCTCATCTCTATTAATAAAACAGACCTGACCGGAGAGGTGAGGAGGATTCTGGGAGGTCACATGACATCACTCATCTCTATTAATAAAACAGAGACCTGACCGGAGAGGTGAGAAGGATTCTGGGAGGTCACATGACATCACTCTCATCTCTATTAATAAAACACAGACCTGACCGGAGAGGTGAGGAGGATTCTGGGAGTCTAACATGATGTTCCTATTGGTTCCCCAATACAGAGATTTCCTCTTCTGAAGTCAGGTGATCATATGACCATCACAGTGCCTCCATGTGACTCCCTAAACCCCGAGAGACACAACATGGAGAAGATTCTAGAAGTCACCAAGAAGATGATGGAGCTGCTGACAGGAGAGGTGAGTGGTGCCGGGAATTCTGGGACATTCTCCAGTAACAGACAAGGGATGTGTCTGGATGGTGACTGTATCATTGTGTGTGTCAGGTTCCTATAAGGTGTCAGGGTGTCACTGTCTATTTCTCCATGGAGGAGTGGGAGTATTTAGAAGGACACAAGGACCTCTACAAGGACGTCATGATGGACAATCAGCAGATTGTAAGCAGTTTGAAAAAGGAATTTCAACTGAATGAGAAAATATTGAAGTTGTGTTTGAAGGTCATCTACCTTCTGATTGGAGAGGTGAGGAGGATTATGGGAGCGTTAAATGACATTGCCCTTATCTCTTATACATAGACCTGACCATAAAGGTGAGGCATTGTGGGATTGTAATATTTGTTGACTCACACAGGACCGTGCAGTAGTAATGAAGACGTCAGTTGAACATAAAGCAAGAACTGGATCTCCAAATCTGTCCACACAACTATGCAATAGCCAGGGCCCTATTACCATTCTGTCACCGAGCCATCTGAAACCTCAGATGCTAAATATCCAGAAGATTCTAGAAGTCACCAAGAAGATGATGGAGCTGCTGACAGGAGAGGTGAGCGGTGCCGGGAATTCTGGGATATTCTCCAGTAACAGACAAGGGATGTGTCTGGATGGTGACTGTATCATTGTGTGTGTCAGGTTCCTATAAGGTGTCAGGGTGTCACTGTCTATTTCTCCATGGAGGAGTGGGAGTATTTAGAAGGACACAAGGATCTCTACAAGGACGTCATGATGGACAATCAGCCGCCCCTCACATCACCGGGTAAGAGGAGACTTTATTGGAAAGGAGAGAGCAGTACGGAGGATCCACCTAGATCCCCCATCATCTGATAAACACATAGAAACAATGGATTCAGTCAGTGTGTGTGTTTCCTACAGATGGATCCAGTCATGGGAACCCACCAGAGAGATGTCCCGGTCCTCTGTATTCCTGGGATTCCACACAGGAAGGTCACACCATCCCTCACCATCATCAGGTAGGTGGAATTGAGGGTCCAGCATGAGATATTGAGATAGTTTGCTTTATGTCTTTAGTGGACAAACTTTAAAGATATTATTTTTTGTAATTGTGTTGGATTAGCATGAAAAACAAATGGATATAAAAGTTGAGGTTAAGGAGGAAGAAGAAGAGACGTATATGATGGATTATCAACAGTCTACAGAGGAAGTTGGGATGATGGGGACAGCTAAACAGGAGGAACCTCCCTTACTTATCAGCAAGGGTGAGTAATGAACAAGACATTCAGGGAATGTTGGGGTATAAAAGATTGATGGTTGATGATCTGTAGGCCTTCACATCGTCAGATAAAATGATTTCTAGAACCTGTTGTAAAGGAGAGAGCAGTACAGAGGGTCCACCTAGATCCCCCATCTTCTGATAAACACATAGAAACAATGGATTCAGTCAGTGTGTGTGTTTCCTACAGATGGATCCAGTCATGGGAACCCACCAGAGAGATGTCCCCATCCTCTGTATTCCCGGGATTCCACACAGGAAGGTCACACCATCCCTCACCATCATCAGGTAGGTGGGACTGAGATTCTAGAACTGAAGAATGACTCCAAACTTAGTGAGATTTTATCTGTGAATTCTTCTCTTGTCAGCACTCATTTAGAGATTTTATCATCTTGTTGGCTTAGAGTGAAGAGCTGATTTACATGAAAGTTGAGGTTAAAGAGGACGAGGAGGAGACATGTGTGCGGGATGATCAGCCATCTACGGTGACAATTAAAGATAAGGAATCTTCTCGAGATATCCGCACAGGTGGGTAACACAAGAGCCTTTCATGTTTTTAATATGCAGTCCGGCAAGTATACAGGGCAACTAAAGTACACCAAAGATCCATCTCCGTTCCTCATATAACATCATGTTCCCAACAAATGAGGAGGAGATACTGGACACCATATGAAAGTCCAGCTCCATTCCTCAATATAACGTCACGTTTCCCACCAAAAATAAGGAGGAGATACTGGACACCATATGGAAGGTCCATCTCCATTCCTCAATATAACGTCATGTTCCCAACAAATGAGGAGGAGATACTGGACACCATATGGAAGGTCCATCTCCATTCCTCAATATAACGTCATGTTCCCAACAAATGAGGAGGAGATACTGGACACCATATGAAAGGTCCATCTCCGTTCCTCAATATAACGTCATGTTTCCAACAAATGAGGAGGAGATACTGGACACCATATGAAAGGTCCATCTCCATTCCTCAATATAACATCATGTTCCAAACAAATGAAGAGGAGATACTGGACACCATATGAAAGGTCCATCTCCATTCCTCAATATAACGTCATGTTCCCAACAAATGAGGAGGAGATACTGGACACCATATGAAAGGTCCATTGCCATTCCTCCATATAACGTCACGTTTCCAACGACTGGCCTACTTGTGTAACTCTTGACTGTGAAAGAGGAAATAGTAATTTGCATTTAATACTATTAATTTATTTCCAGCAGATGGATGCCATGTCTGGAACACCTCAGAAGGACATCTTATTTTATCTACTGATTATAACACAGGAGAACGAGGCGGAAAAAAAGGAAGCGGTTACCGTTCCAAACTCCTCAATGGCGAGAAGCCCTTTTGCTGCCCGCAATGTGGAAAATGCTTTGTTTGGAGAGGAGACCTTCTTAGACACCAGAGAAGTCACACGGGCGAGCGCCCTTTTTCGTGTTTAGAGTGCGGAAAATGTTTCACGCAGAAAGCTAATCTCATAGTGCATGAACGGTTTCACACTGGAGTGAGGCCCTATTCTTGCTCGGAGTGTGGGAAATGTTTTACTCGGAAAGGAGATCTTCTTAGACACCAGAGAACTCACACGGGCGAGCGTCCATTTTCCTGTTTGGACTGTGGGAAAAGTTTCACGCAGAAAGCGAGTCTCATTCTGCACGAGCGGCTTCACACCGGAGTGCGGCCATATTCTTGTTCGGAGTGCGGGAAAAGTTTCACTCAAAAAGGAGACCTTCTTACACACCAGAGCAGCCATATGGTCGAGCGTCCCTTTTCATGTGCAGAATGTGAGAAGACGTTCAAGAAGAAATCTGAACTTGTCCTACACCAGAGAGTCCACACCGGGGAGACCTTTGCATGCTCTGTGTGTGGGAAATCATTCACAAAGAAATACAAACTTGTTACACACGAGAGAGTCCACACTGGAGAAAAGCCCTTTCCTTGTTCCGAGTGCGGGAAATGTTTTTCGATTAAAGGGAACCTTAGTAAGCATATGAAGTGCCACACCAGTGAGAAGCCGTTTTCCTGTTCCACGTGCGGGAAATGTTTCACCTTTAAAAACAGTTTTATCAGGCATCAGAAAGTCCATTCTGGGGAGAATGCAGGCCCACAAAGTGCAGGAAATGTTGTAGATCAGAAGTCATTACTCCCCTGAGTGCTCCACAGAAGAACCATTTTGATGTTGGGTGTGTGGACATTACTCTTTGTGGAGAGAAGCTCTGGTCCACCACACGGGCGGGTGCCATTTTTCCTTCTTGGAGTGCAGGAAAGGTGTTTGTCAAGTGACTTTGTATATCCTGGGTTCTTTTTGGCCATCCTTTCTCAACTAGAGGGTAGTGAAACCCTAGGTTTCCTACAGGGGCTGCTAAAGGTTCCTTGAAATTTGGCAAACTGACCTCCTAGTTGGGGGTGCCTGGATAGTTCCATGGCCATTGCTACTTGGCAAAGTCAGGGGCATGACACCATTGGTCTTTTTGCCTATTTGTAAGGGGAGCAATACTGTAAAGATCGCTTAGCCCCCCCCCTAACAATGAGGGGGTTCCTAAAGTAGACTTCCAGTTCTCCTCCAGCTGGTGGTCCTCATAATCACCTTAGAATTGGGGAAAAAAAAAAAAATTCACAGTCCATGCTACAGGTATGAGGATCCTCCAGACCTTAAAAGTCCTTTGTGGGGCTCGGAGTGGATAAATCTTTACTCTTGTCGGTGGAAATCTCCACCAGTAGTAACCACCACCATAAGCACTGTAGCCTGGGGAAATCCAACACTAGAACACATGCACAGGGCGGAGGTGCACCAGCCTAGTGCGTTGCTGTAGGACTCTTTAATAGTAAAATACATTTTCAGTATACTCACAAAAGAAAAAGATGTAACCATATCCGTGTCCATCACACCCTCCATCAGACGCATGTCCACCAAGGGGAACAGCTTACGCGCTTCAAGGGTGATGCCCTCTTCATCAGAGCTCTGGTTAAGAGATTTCTAGATTTTCCACATTTCAAGGACGATGCCCTCTTCATCAGAGCTCTGGTTAAGAGATTTCTAGATTTTCCACATTTCAAGGACGATGCCCTCTTCATCAGAGCTCTGCTGAAGAGGTTTTTTTTTTAGCATTTTAAAGAGCGTTTTAAGGGTGCTGCCCTCTTCATCAGAGCTTTGATGAAGAGCTTTTTACGCATTTCAAGGGCGATGCCCTCTTTATCAGAGGCCTGTTAAAGAGATTTTCTAGCTTTTACACATGTTTCAAGGCCCTCTTCATAATCAGAGCCCTGTTGAAGACATTTCTAGCTTTTACACGTTTCAAGGATGCTGCCCTCTTCATCAGAGCTTCAATGAAGAGCTTTTTAGCTTTTATGCTTTTCAAGGGCAATACTCTCTTCATCATAGCATTAATGAAGAGCTTTCTACTTGTACACATTTCAAGGTTGATGCCCTCTTCATTAGAGCTCTGATATACAGATTTCTAGCTTTTTCATGTTTCAAGGGCGATGCTCTCTTCATCAGAGGTCTGATGAAGAGTTTTTTCTAGCATTTTAAGCTTTTCAAGGGTGCTGCCCTCTTCATCAGAGCTTTGATGAAGAGCTTTTTATGCTTTTCAAGGGCGATGCCCTCTGCATCAGTGCTTCAATGAAGAGCTTTTTAGCTTTTATGCTTTTCAAGTGTGATGCCCTCTTCATCAGATCTCTGATGAAGAAATTTCTAACTCTTACTTGTTTGAAGGGCGATGCCCTCTTCATCAGAGCTCTGATGAAGACATTTTCTAGCTTTTACATGTTTCAAGAGTGATGCCCTCTTCATCAGAGCTCTGATATAGAGATTTCTAGCTTTTACACACGTTTCAAGGGCGATGCTCTCTCTTCATCAGAGGTCTGATGAAGAGTTTTTTTTAGCATTTTAAGCTTTTCAAGGGTGCTTCCCTCTTCATCAGAGCTTTGATGAAGAGCTTTTTATGCTTTTCAAGGGCGATGCCCTCTTTATCAGAGGCCTGATAAAGAGATTTCTAGCTCTTACACGTTTCAAGGGTGATGCCCTCTTCATCAGAGCTTTTTAGCTTTTATGCTTTTCAAGGGTTATGCCCTCTTCATCAGAGCTCTGATGAAGAAATTTCTAACTCTTACTTGTTTGAAGGGTGATGCCCTCTTCATCACAGCTTCAATGAAGAGCTTTTTCCTTGTACACGTTTCAAGGGTGATGCCCTCTTCATCAGAGGTCTGATATAGAGATTTCTAGCTTTTACACGTTTCAAGGGCGATGCTCTCTTCATCAGACGTCTGTTGAAGAGTTTTTTTTTTTTTTCAGCATTTTAAGCTTTTCAAGAGCGATGCTCTCTTCATCAGAGGTCTGATGAAGAGTTTTTTTTAGCATTTTAAGCTTTTCAAGGGCGATGCTCTCTTCATCAGAGCTTTGATTAAGAGCTTTTTATGCTTTTCAAAGGCAATATTCTCTTCATCAGAGCTTCAATGAAGAGCTTTTTACTTGTACACATTTCAAGAGTGATGCTCTCTTCATCAGAGCTCTGATATAGTGATTTCTAGCTTTTACATGTTTCAAGGGTGATGCCCTCTTCATCAGAGCTTCGATGAAGAGTTTTTTACTTGTACATATTTCAAGGGTGATGCCCTCTTCATCAGAGCTCTGATGAAGAAATTTCTAGCTCTTGCTTGTTTCAACGGTGCTGCCCTCTTCATCAGTGCTCTGTTAAAGAGACATTTCTAGCTCTTACACATTTCAAGGTCGATGCTTTCTTCATCAGAGCTTTGATGAAGAGCTTTTTAGCTTTTATGCTTTTCAAGGGCAATACTCTCTTCATCAGAGCTTCAATGAAGAGCTTTTTACTTGTACAGGTTTCAAGGGTAATGCCCTTTTCATCATAGCTCTGATGAAGAACTTTCTAGCTCTTACTTGTTTCAAGGGCAATGCCCTCTTCACCAGAGCTCTGATAAAGAGCTTTTTAGCATTTTAAGCATTTGAAGGGTGAATGCCCTCTTTATCAGAGCTCTGATGAAGAGAGCATTGGCCTTGAAATGTGTAAAAGCTAGAAATGTCTTCATCAGAGCTTAGATGAAGAGGGTATCACCCTTGAAAAGCATAAAAAGTTCTCCATGAAAGCTCTAATGAAAAGGGCATCACCCTTGAGACGCTAAAAAAGCTCTTAATCAGAGCTCTGATGAAAAAATGTCTAGCTTTTACATATTTCAAGAGCAATACACTCTTCATCAGAGCTCTGATAAAGAGCATTTTAGCATTTACGTGTTTCAAGGGTGGTGCCCTCTTCACCAGAGCTTTGATGATGAGCTTTCTATCTTTTACACATTTCAAGGGCAATGCTCTCTTCATCAGAGGTCTGATGAGATTGCTAGCTTTCACACGTTTCAAGGGCGATGCTCTCTTCATCAGAGCCCTGCTGAGATTTCTAGCTTTTACATGTTTCAAGGGTGATGCCCTCTTCATCAGAGTTTTGTTGAAGAGCTTTTAGGCTTTTCAAGGGCAATGCTCTCTTTATCAGAGCTTCAATGAAGAGCTTTTAACTTGTACATGTTTCAAGGGTGATGCCCTCTTTCATCAAAGTTCTGATGAAGGGGGCATTGCCCTTGAAACGTATAAGCTTCGCCCCTTGGTGGACATGTGCCTGATGGTGTGATTGACATTGATATGCTTATGCATCATTCTCTTTTGTGATTAGATTGAAAACTTGTTTGATCATTAAAGAGTCCTACAGGAATGCACTAGGCTGGTGCACCTCCTTCCTATGCTTGTGTTCTAGCCTTGGAAATATGAATAGATCACGGGGAGAAGCCACGAGATGGCATGAAAATCAAATCCTCTTCCAGACATCAGAATGTTCAAAGGCCTGAGGGACCTTTTCCCTCAAGCACTGATGGAGATGTTCCGAAATCAAAGCTGGGTAGACAGAGTGGTCACACTCGATGAATAAACTTCTTGTGACCATAAACGGTATCATCTGTAGATGAAGATCATTGGTTGACAGCAAGGCAGTTCAGCTCACCATCCACCCGGTGGTCCCCCGGGATGAACTTTGGGCAGGTTCAAAGGAATGGAATATAATATGAGTGGAATTAACCAATGTTTCACTTGTTCTGTTTTGTATCTTTTTTTTTTTTATGAATTATGAAGAGATCTGTTACCACATTATTTCTTTATAAGCAGATGTATGCCGGTATTGTTTTTTTTTTCTGTTATTTTAATGGAGAGTTTTTGTTGTGTGGATACTAGTGGGAGGGCTTCTACTTGTCTTATTTAATAAACGGGCACATAAAACCAGAGCAACCAATCAGAAACTGTCTTTCTCAGACAGTAGTATGTGATCACCTGACCATCACACCTACTATGTGGCCAGACGTATGTGGATGCCCCTCCAAATGATGGTGTTCAGGTGTTTCCAGTGAAGGGTACTGGTAATACTACATCATACAAAGACATTTTAGAGAAATGTGTTCTTCCAACCTTCTGGTAACAGTTTGTTGAAGGCCCTTTTCTGTTCCAGTAAGACAAACCCAGCTCCATTAAGACATGGTTTCACCAGTTGGGTTTGGAAGAATTCTGAGGGGCCTAATTGATGTCCTGACCTCAGTCCTGATGTCAAACCTTACGGAACACCTTTGAGATGACTTGGAATGTCGACTGGAAACCAGGTCTTCACATCCAACATCAGTTTCTGACCTGCAACCTCGGTAAAGAGCTTAGAGCACCGTTCAAAGCTGAAGAGGAGTAGCTTTTCTAAATCCACAGCATGCCAGTACACTCATCCAGAAAGTAACACACATGAGGACACCCACTCTCCTGAGGTAAGATAGGCAAGGTAGAAGTAAGAAGTAGCCTCAGCCTATATTTCTCTGCAGTCATGTTTCACCCCACCCTCTTCGACCCCTATGGCTAAGCCCCAGCGGCCGGGGGGGGTAGGGCAAAACGCGTCAGTATATGATCTGGCAGAGAAATGTAGGCTGAGGCCGCTTCTTACTTCTACCTTGCATAAGCTGGTCTATTCATTAGTACCTAATCTCGCCAATGGGCACAAATTCCAACAGACACACAACAAAACTTTATGGAAAGCCTTCCGAGAAGAGTAGAGGCTAATATAGCCAAAAAGCAGGAAAAGGGAGATGGGGAAT